TAAAAATCAAACAAATCCCCCCAGGCCTGCAGTACAAAAGTGAGTAAAAACATGCAAATGCTTTGTCCCAGCTCACCAGGAGAAACAGATACCCAGCCTGTCGTATTTTGTATCAGAGTTGCAGAGCAGAGAAGTATGAATAGTTATTGTTTTTCTAGCAAGAAAGAAAACCTTTTTGTGGCCATTTTCAATAGAGGATGCCATGCAGCATAAAGCAGCTGTAAGGTGTTCATATTATGGACAAAGTACTTTTCCTGTTATCTACTAGTTTATGGGGACATTACAGGTGGTTTTTGTGGCAATCATGGCTGTTGCATAAGAACCGGGATAGGTACAGCAAACACATGATTGTTTTCTATGATGTCCTTTCAGGCACCAACTGGAAGACGGCCATGCTGGTCCTCAGCCCCTTGGCATTCATACTGGGATTAATAATACTGACACTCAATGTTCATTACAACAAGTAAGTGAGACTCAGGTTCATTTGGTTTGCCACTTCCCTGTCCACCATTTCAGAACAAAAGTCTTGGTCTTGGCACCCTTCCCAATCCCACACTTGAAGCGTCTGGCTCTGAGCAGCTGGGTCTGCTCACCCATGATGTCACCCTTGGTGATTTCTTCTCTCTGCCACCCTGCTTCTCTCTCCCACTCACTATCCCACCCAAATGCAGCCACTAATGTTGGCTCCTTCTCCCTTACACACCTTACACCACTCCTGAAGTTTTAGGGAATTTGGGCACTACAGTTGCCAATCCAGGTGACATGGAGAAGCAACCAAGAGATAAGCAGATGCAGTTACGTACCCTCTTCTCTCTCCTCCTAGGAAGAAGAAAATCCTCTCTGCTCTGAAGAGCTCTCCAGCCAACAGCAGCAGAGCTGACTTGCGGGAGCCATCTCCCTTACGAAGAGGTCCCCAGCCGTACCTTCCACCATCTCGCTCACCTTCCTTGAGGCATGGAGAGATCCTCATTGAGTGGAAAGACGGGACTGTCACTCCTCTGTTTGATAATGCCAATTATCAAATGGACTAGCTCCAAAATAATGCAGCTGTTGTCCCATCCTGTGTCACTCTTCCCACCAGGAAGAGTGCCACCATAGCCGGTCTCCTCCCTAGCCTTGCTCTTCTGACAGGGAATTGTAAGCGCTGTTTGGTTTGGTTTTTTTAACACTTGAGAACAATCTCCTTGCACAGCATGAGGTTGAAGCAAGCAGAGCAGATTGTTTGATATGTATAGGCACATGCTGCTTAGCTCTTCCAGAGCTGATTTAACCCATAAAAAACCCCAAATTTAGCTAAATAAAGCCAAGAATCTTGCCAACTGCAACTGTCCATTGCCTTGAAATTGCAGAGTTACTGAGCATATGAGAAAGTAAATCCTTGGAGACAAAGCATAAGGTGAAAAACACAAGTCCTGACGATCCCTAAATCCTTTTTAAGATAAAACTAGCTGCCAACAGACACAGAAGGCAGTCAGTTACTTTGTCAATGTAAGAACGTAACTAATAAGCACTGCCTTCAAAGATTAGTCTCTTCCAGATATGTGCCAAAATACTCTCCCCACTGTTATCAATTCAGTAACAGCAAGTAATTTTTCTAACTTAAAAGGTAGCACTCCATTGTCCTCTCTGCATCACTACAAGAGTTGTGCTGAGAGAACATGCATCTCTTAAAATGTTTCCAAATTTAGGATGCATTAGACCTTATTACAGCACACATCCTCTTTCTTTATGTAGAATGACAAGTAACATCGGTGATGCTTGTCAGGGATTTTACATTATCCAGCCATTTTATTATACCAGTTTCAATTTCTAATTTCCTGTAGTCATATGGAATAGTCAATGAACAGATACACTGCTCCCATCTAGAGCAGTAATACAGTCTTTATTCTAGAAAGGAGTAAGACATTGTTTTCAGCCTTCACACTTCTTGTTTGAGCATAATTACCTGTGACTCATGACACTCAATCCTCATTTTTTCTCAGTGAAACTTGCAATGGCTTGGTGCTTTCCTAATGTTCATGAATTTTTGCTTTCCTTCTCTCTGATCTTGTGATGACGTAAATCATAATCATGGCTATAAATCATGAATTATTTGGAGAAAGAAATACAAACACCAAGAAATTACAAGTATGAGCTGCATCAGTACATTCGTTCAGCAGAGCAAGGGAAACCATATCCTAACCTGTCTCTTACTCAAACAACACTTTTCACTTTACTTAAATCGTTGTGCTACTTCAGAGGAGCTTGGAATTCTCTAGAGTTTGATTTTATTTAACCTAAGGCTAAAGTAAGGTCTCTAGGGAATTTGAAGTCTCTGATTTTTTTAATATGTATTTTGTAATTTTTTTCTTTTTAAACATAGATCCACACCCTAGTAAAAAGTTAACTGCCATGAGACATTATAATGACCAAAAACTTTGCTGGTCTCAGGAAAGAAAATACAAACATTATTGGTTCGGGGCATAAAAATCATAGAGGTTGGAAATAAATGTCTTCCCCAGACAGATTATTCCATAATTATTTACTGGAGGGTTTCCCACATGCTCCTTGGGAAAATATTTTACCATTAGACATGGGCAGAGGAAGAAGTCTTTCTTCACCAGTAAGCACTGAACACAAACAACGCAGTCAGAATTAAATTCTGACTTTCCAACGTTTCCATTTTTAAAACAAATCCAAAGACTTCGGTCAAGTTTCCAAATGCGTAAGCATTATTTTACACACAAAATTTGTAGGAATACATTCTGTACACAAATCACTTGCAATGCACATGCAGTGCCTCACCAATTATCAGTTACAACCCTTGTACCTTTTTTCTACCACAGTTAAGATGCTTGCCTTACAAATTTTGTCCAAGGAGCACATCACTTTACAGTGCACGGCACTTGTTACCCTCCAAAACCTAGACACGCTTTGGTAACATGACATATGCAGTGCCAGTAAAATGCAAATACTTAGAGTTCAGCTAATGTTGTGCTTTCCAAAGCAGCAAGTGCTTGTGTTCATTACTGCTGAATGGGCAGAACAGATGACTTGTTAACGACTTTCTATAATTCATACTTAATATGCTGATCTTGCTCATAAACATGAAGGCAGTAACACCATTGTTTACATAGAACTGATTAAATGGTAGCTCAAACAATAATGAAAAATTAAGACTGTGAAGCAGCCCAGGCTTTTTAACTATTTTCTCCCCCTCTCTTTTACTGGTTGTTATCTTTTAGTTATTTCTCACTGGTCTAACCACATTAGATACTATAGACCAAATTCTCCAAGGTATGGACAGAGGAGGTGAAGGTCACAAGATCTTCATCACAAGAGGTCTTAAAAAGCATGTTAGCCAAACGTCCATCAGGAAAGACTCCAAAATAGCTGATTCTGCCTTGGGGCTGGACCAGGTGACAGCGGGAGACACTTGCCATCCTCTGCTTCGAAAGGTAGCTGAGAAACACTCAGAGCAATCACCCAACCCGTGTGCTGTTCACTCTCTGCCATCACCTGAATGCAATGCTTGTAAACAGCATTAATAATCAAAATAAAACCTGACTGTAAAGTGGCGGCGCACTGAAATTATTTATAGGGGGGGGTGTGTGTGTGTATATATATATGTAAAGCTCCCTTACAGCACATGCTTTTCTGTGTGTGCATGCATATGTACATATATACATATTAAAAAAAAAAAAGCTATAAGGGGGCTTTTATAAATCACTCTGGAAGATAACAGTGATGAGCAAGACACCCCAGTCACAGATGCACTAACGATATTACAATAGACTGCACCGAAGGAGGAGTGCTGCATAACTGGAGAGTAACACAATACCAAACTGTGCCCATGTGTCTCAGCCCAGTTATGAAGCATCTCTGCTATCACAGGTCTTCTTCAGGGCTGATGTGGTGCTGATGACGTTCATTTCACTCCTGCAGCAAGGAGGAAGACAAAGTGGAAGTACAGCCCACTTTCTCATACACTTACTTGCCTTGCAAGGTCCAAGTGTCTAAGCAGCAAAGGCTAAAGGAGACATAGGGCAGAAGGGACGCTTGTTCTCCCACAAAGTTCCCCGGGATTCAGAAAACCTCATTGCTCACCTAAAAATTTTAGTAATTCCATCATGCTTTTTTTGGTATTTATGTACCAAAACATCCAAAAGATTATGAACCATCACTAACTGAACATGCATAATAACACAGAGTGCTAAGAACCTCAGCTCCAAATGTCAATGACAAAAGAGAGGTCCACAGGAAAGCTGATGCAGGCAAGCGCATCTGTAGCACAAGCTTCTGTGATCATCCAGCTTAAGTACCTACAGCCCAGCACTGGCAGCGCACATGGCCCTGCTGCCCACACACGCGTGCAGGCTGCAGCCACAGAAACACAGATGCTGTCAAATGGACAGGAGATTGCACATTAGCTTAGATATTCTGTGCAGAAAATGCTATATAAGGCAGACAGATTTCCCTCTTCCAACCCTGTGAATAATGTATGGCCAATGGGTCTGTTAAAGAGCAAAAAGGAAGAGGCAGAGGAACTCCAAGTTTACCATTTGAATACTGTATGTCAACTGTTTACTAAGACTCTTTGGATGGAAAATGTTTTCATAAGAGTACATTAGTGATGTATGTAAATTCATGATACAAACAAATAAGACCTGAAATGATTTGACAAGTTATCACAGCATATCAGTGGAGGAGTTGGGAACAGAACTACTGCTTCCCTATTTGAAATGCAAGGTGCAACTTCTGCAGTAAACATTTTGTTATTAAAAATCTCCATATGCTCATTTTCTTAACTCTAGTTCTACATCAGCAAGTCAAGAAATATCAACTGTTTGATTTTTCCAAGAGATCTGTGGTTGTTCAGCACTTCAAGGGAAGAAAAAAAAAAAAAAGGAAACAGGGACAGAGGAAGTCTTTGTTAGCTCTGGGTTTCAATTCAGACATCTCTGGCTCATGGTTGAACTGGACCATGCTTTAAAAATTCCCCTTATCCTTCACAAAAGCATTTATTCTTTGGAGCAGAGAAATTGATGCACTTCTTTCAGTGTCGCTTGCATGTCTTCATATTCTGCAAATTTGCAAGCATCCTCCAGCTTCAGCCATTGGAAAGCTTGGTGTTCTTCCGAGAGCTTGATTTCTGTGTTACAGTCCTTCATTTCTGCCAGCCAGTAAATGACGGTCTTAGGTTTGCCACGGACAGGATAGTGCAGTTCTTTCTTGTACCCTTCTATGAGGGTGAGCTGACTGGCCTGAAGACCTGCCTCTTCCTGTGTTTCCCGGAAGGCTGTCTGCAGGTCATCCTCTCCTGGATCCACGTGGCCTGTCAAGAAGGTGAAAAAGTAAGTGTCTGAGAAGAAAACGCAGATTTTGTTTATTCAGTTGACAAAAGGAAACACTGGGAGACAGATGACAGTATGTTGTAGCTGATACAATGGAAAACGGAGAACAGAGACTGCTTTTGCAACTCTTGTATCTTGATTTGTCTTTCTCTCATGGCTTTTAGGATCATTGCTTATCCTACAGCTTCTGAAACTCCCAGTGGCCTGTCAGCAGTAGATGTCTTTTCTTCCCTCTCCTCTTCTGAAGCACTCTGCACCCGTAATGTTCCACCCTAGATCATACCAAGGATTGAGGGCCTCAGGAATGCTTTTCCTTTAGCCAGTTAGAGGGGAGATGCCTCATCTGCACGACTCAAAGTCCTCTCTCAACCCTCCCCTCTCACGGAAGCTTAAGGCTCAATTCTGCAAAACTCTTACTTGTGCCAACAGCCCAGAAACAACGGGACCAGGCACCAACGAATGCCATTCAAAAGGTGGGTTTCAGTCAGGCAGTTAGGGGTATTTTCATTTCTCTCTCATATTATCCTCTGAAACACAGCAAGCCTAAAAGCCAGTCCTTTCACCAGCTCCATAATTCTTCTAGGACACATAATTTATTTTATGTTGCTCAGAATGAGAGGTGCCATTACAAACAACGGATAAATATAACACATCCCCAGCTGTTTGTACTTTTGTTGAGAAATGTCAGATTTGGTTTTCTCATGAAAGCTCCAGACCAGAACATAAATAGAACAAGCCAAGCAATATCTCAAAAAAGCAACATAGGAGGAATTGGGAACCTTCAAGAGGAAAAAAAAAAAAGTTAAGCTTTATTTTGCCCCCGGTGTCACTATTTTCTATGCAGCTGGCTGCAAATAGCCATAATTTCATCATACAGATGAACTTTTCCTCAGGGTCCAGGTACCCAGAGCTGACCTTCAGTACTAAAACTGGGGTAGGTGGGAAGCTCATTTTGCTTTCCTAAGAGGTCTCACTCACTTCTTTGTCTGTGTATCAGAAGCTTAATGACTTCTTACAATGTGACATCATCTCAAATTTAAAATACGCTTCTATTTCAAACAGCAACTGTGCAGAAAACAGCATCTGATGTTGCATTTGACATCTCGGATCTTTTCAGATCAAATACACTGAGGCTTTAAGTAAAAATATTTTCCTCAAGCACTGCAAGTCAACATATCTCCTTCTTTCTGACAAAGTAAGTGTTTCCATAGCTGGGACTTTTACTAATAGATGAGAAACAGAATCCACTTGGCCTTGCACACTGGATTACTTTTACAGTACCCAGTGCAAATTCCCACAGAACATCCATGAACAGTAAGTAACCACTATTTTTTATGCTAATCATGATTGGTAGTCACCAAGCGTGCAGTGAGTTGAGGTACCAATAAAGCTGCTCTCCAGCTTAGCAAAAGGCAATCACCTCACCACGCTGTTGATAACCTGAAGTCTAAGCTCAGTTAAGTTTCCAGCTTTGTGCAACAGCCTACCTACTGGGAGGGAAAAGGTCTGCTGGGAGCACCTCACACCACAGCTTCCAGATCCTCCAGTGCAATTCCAATATGCTCAGGAAGAAAATGAACCCCTCATCCCCTTCCCGCCAGCCTCAGCTAGTGCAAGGTCACAGTTCTAGGAGCAGAGATGAGGCTGATGAAGCTCATGTGGGGGGATTCAAGCAAGTCCAGTTTAATCCCATAAAGAGTTGAAGGTGCTTTTAAAATATCAATGTACAGCTATAGCTGTAAATTGCCTTTTGCATGCTCTTGGAGAAATCATTACAACTTCTCATTCTGGTTCCTGCCACATTAAATCTACAGCTGCATCATATACAAGATACGTTACTGCATCACATAACCTGAGGCTGCCTTTGAAGACTACTCATATCATAGAAAATACATTATGTAATAGCTCTCCTTCATTTTTTGCCCCCAAATCTGTACCAAGCTACTATTAAAGGCTGCCATCAGATTGTGTCTTTTTATGGAGAAGGCTGAGCTACTTAAAATTTTTGCCTCAGTCTTCACTGGCAAATGCTTGAGCCACACTGCCCAGGTCACAGAAGGCAGGGACTGAGAGAATGCAGAACCACCCACTGTAGGAGAAGATCAGGTTCGAGAATATCTAAGGAACCTGAAGTTACACAAGTCCACAGGACCTGATGAGATGCATTCACAGGTCTTGAGTGAACTGGCAGATGAAGGGGCCAGGCCACTCTCCATCATCTTTGAGAAGTCCTGGCAGTCTGGCGAAGTTCCCACCAACTGGAAAAGGGGAAACATAACCCCCATTTCTAAGAAGGGTAAAAAAGAAGACCCAGGGAACTACAGGCCGGCCAGTCTCACCTCCGTGCCTGGCAAGATTATGGAGCAGACCCTCCTGGAGACTATGCTCAGGCACATGGAAAAATATGGAGGTGACTGGTGACAGCCAACATGGCTTCACTAAGGGTAAATTGTGCCTGACAAACTTGGTGGCCTTCTATGATGGGGTTACAGTGTTGGTGGATAAGGGAAGAGTGACAGGCATCATCTACCTGGACTTGTGCAACTGACCCGCACGACATCCTTGTCTCTGAATTGGAG